AGACACTGTAGATGGGAGCTGGCCCATGCCGCTATCACTGGGCCAGCTTTCACGCAGTGCTCTAGGCTAAAACGTAAACTAGTAAATCATTGCGATTTCATTTACTATTGCTCACCTTTTGCTCTCGATGGGGAAGAAGGAGAAGAACTAGTGAAAGACTTTGTAAGGGTAGTGCTTGATCCCGGGAGGTCCGCTCGGCCAGGGCTGGTCCTGCTCGCATTTTGATCTCCCAGGCCCCGTGGTGGACCCACCGCAGGCTCGCTCTTCCTCCGTTTCCTGAAGTCACTGGCCGTGCTTGCAGAACTGAAAGAAGGAAGCAGCAGCTGTTTGATTGCCAGTGGAGAAGGGTAAGGTGTGCACCAGAAAAACCAGTGGCATGTGCCAGTGACAATGGCATAACTCTTCAACCTCTACCCGCAAAACCACATTGCTAGGAACTCATCCCTTGACATTCAACATGATTTCTCTAGAAGGATCTTTTAAAAAATCAATAGGCTTTATTATTTATTTTGAGATGGCTTCTGGCTCCATCACCCAGGTGCAATCACAGCTCACTGCAGCCCCAAACTGCTGGGCTCAAGGGATACTCCTGTCTCAACCTCCTGAGTAGCTGGGACCACAGGTGTGTACCACCATGCCCGGCTATTTTTTTAAATTTTTGTTTATATAGAGACAGTCTCACTATGTTGCCCAGTCTAGTTTCAAACTCCTGAGCTCGAGTGATTCAGCCTCAGTCTCCTGACGTGTTGGGATTGCAGGCGTGAGACATTGTGCCCAGCCGACTTAGTTTTTTTAGAGACGTTTAAGGCTTGCAGAAATGTTGATTGGAAAGTGTAGAGAGTTTCCTTATAGTCCTTCCTTCTTGCACAGTGTCCCTTATCATTTACATATTCTATTAGTGGGGTACATGGTTACAACTGATGCATCTACCTTGACACATCCTCATCCCAAGTCTGTAATTTACATTCGAGTTCACGTTTCATTTTAAACATTTTATAGGTTTTGAGAAATGTATAATGATGTGTGTCCATCATTAATGCGTCAATCATATAAAATTTTTACTACCATGAAAAGCCTCTGTTCTCTGGCTTCTCCTCCCGCCCGCCCCCCGCCCGCCCCCCGCCCATCCTGGCCGCCACTGATCCCTCCACGGCCTCCACAGTGTTGCCTTTTCACCACGCCCAGTTGATACCACGCAGAATGTGGCCTCTCAGATTGGATGCCTTCACTCAGTAATATACTTTTAAGGTTCTTCCACGTATTTTTGTCACTCAGTAGCAGATTTTGTCGTATTGCCGAGTCACATTCTATTACATGGATGCGCCACAATTTAACCATTCACCTATTGAAGGACATCTTGGTTGCTTTCAAGTTCTAGCAATTATAAATAATGCTGCCCAAAAAACCCCCTGCTGGTTTTTGTGTGAACATGTTTTTAAACATCTTGGAAAGTCAACGTTCTCCTATGGTGTAATATGTTGTGATTGAGAATTCAGTGTTATAATTTTTAGCCTGTATCTTTTCTCTGTAAAGCGGAGTTCTAACAACATGAATATATTCAGAGGAGCATATCAAATGCAGGAAGGAGCTGAAAAAAAAAAAGACATCAGGAGAGGCAAACTTCTCTCACCTCAAGGGTTGCCTGCAGCTTGTCCTATCATCTTAGCTTTAGAAGACCTTATATGGGAATTCCAACATTTTCCATTTAAATAATGAATGAAGGCTGGACATGATAGCTCATGTCTGTAATCAAGTACTTTGGGAGGCCAAGGCTGGAGGATGGCTCAAGGTTAGGAGCTTGAGACCAGCCTGGGTAACCTAGTGAGACCCTATCTCTACAGAAAATAAAAACATTAGCCAGTAGTGCCACGCGCCTGTAGTCCTAGTCCCGGCTATGAGGAGGCTCAGGTGGGAGGATGGCTTGAGCCCAGGAGTTCGAGGCTGCAGTGAGCCCTGACTGCACCACGGCACTCCAGCTTGGGCAACAGAGCAAGCCCTGTCTCGTCAGTCAATCAATCAATCATCAGTACCAGTAATCTGGTCAGCAAATTAACTATTAAAGATTCCTTCCCCCAGTTGCATAAACTAGTCTAGAAGGCAGGGAATGTCTGTCCTGGTTTTGAGTTTGAGTATAGTATCATCGAACACAAACATTAGCGAATGGAGCCACATATGACACAGCGTAGTGTGCGTGAAATCACCGGATTCTTCGACAAGGACTGTGTAGGCGACAGTGATGACAGCCACCGCGGCAACCCCAGCTCCTCTGGGGCCCAGCAGAATGCTATGTGCTTTACTTACGTTTTTGTCTTTTTAGTCCACACAGCAAACCTTTGAGGTATGTGCTGTTGTCTCAGTTTTACAAATGGTGAAGCGAACACACGTGTCTGGGATGCACGGAAGCGGAGGGGCGGACCTCAGAACTGGTTCGTCCTCTCCGGGGAGGACGCTGCATCTCCTAGACCTGTTTTTGCTGTGACTGTCCTGTCGTGTGAGGGTCTGTGTGTCTTTACGGCAATCTTTAGATCAGATTAAAACTCTAAAATTCAAGTGTTTTAGGTGCACAGGTAGGAGCACAAGATAAAAAGAAGGGGTTTGAGGGTTCCTTTCTCAGGGTTGTTACTGTCGTTGGATGGCATCAGAAAGCCAGTTGACGAGGGACCCGATTCGCAAGGAAATCTACATAGGTGGGTAAATTAATGCTACTACAGAAATATTTGTTATTGATGGCACAATATGGCTGGGAGTCTGTATTATTCAATATTGCTATTGAACGATGTCTGAATTTTGTAATATTTTAAAGTAACTGTGATATTTAAAGCTAACAGAACTGACCTCAAGCGGACTCTGAGGGAAGTTAGGCCTAGCGGGTACAAGCTATCTTGCCTCAATTTTGCTTTTTTCTCTCTCCTTGCCTACTGTGTAAATGTGGTAAGTTACTGAGCCTAGGTGTCACTTTCCTCGGAAATAAAGTGGGGACAACCGTATTTAACTATAGTATTGTCTTAGGACTGAATATGTTTTGTACTTATGCCTGGCATATGGTGAACCCTCATGTACGGGGAGTATTAATAAAAGCATTTCTGATTTGTGTGGTCAGAGTGTAACTAACAAATATGTGTATAACACTCTTTCATCTATATATTTTTTTCAAATATATTATTATAATTTTACAATTATAATACTTTACAACATTGAAAATTAGTTACTTGTAATTCCCATCTAAAGAAAAGGAAACTGGGTACAGGGAAGCGAGGGAAGAGAAGGATTTCTGTCTGGGAAGGAATTTATAATTAGTTCACTAATTTTTTAGAAATTCTTGAAATGATCATATCTGCATCACAGATGCAGAAGCAAAATAAAACGACTTCATGAGGCATGGCATTCAAATGAAAATGAGTGATACGTAATACTCATTGCAACTTCACTGAATCATTTTATTGTTGAAAAGAAACCACTGGTATAGAACATTCTGCTACAACATAATGAGATTCTTACCTCATGGGTCTTTCCAGGCTTCTGTCTATGGAGGACTGATACAAGGAGGCCTGTTGAGACAGGATAATAGTCTCATGAAAAATTTTACCGTGGCCAGATTTTGTTCACTTGTCAACATTAAATTAGGTATCCTAAAAAGAATATTATAAAAATCAAGGTCTAAAGTAACATTCATTGTGGCTATACAAATGTCTTCCCAAAGAGATACGATGCAACCTGATTTCACTTTGGACCTATTTGCTTTCTCTTCTGATATAATGCATTGCCTTTCTCTGTGTAGCTCAAATTACCCACAACCCAAGCATTGCATAGGGGGAAATTCTGGAATACTGAAATGAGAGCTAAGTTATTCTACAACCTCAACTTCAGAACCTTACCTATTCATTGTAAATAGAAATGTCCTTCATGAAGGACTGGTTTGATGTTTAAAAAAGTTTGCAGGTATCATTCAATCCTTATAAAACAACACATTTTAAAGTTTTGTGATTGTTGTTACTAAGCATTGTCTTTAACACATAACATGTTAACAGAACTTATGATGTCATTCATTTGTCAATATAGACATGAAATTTAAATAAAACCCAAAGAATTTGATGTGAAGAAACTAAAGTACTTGGCATTTCAATCAGGTAAATAGTTATGCCTTTACAATTAGGTGACTTCAGGGTGAGTTTAAAATAAATGAGCTAATGAATCAAAATATAACTTCAAAAGTGGACTTTAAAAATTTTCCTTCATTCTGAATAATACACTGAAATAGTAAGCAAAAAGGATAATATGAATTTTTCATTTTCCATGGCATCTACTGAGAGAATTGCTAAAACATCTGAAAGGCAAGAGAGGACACTAGGCTACCAAGTGTTTGAGGTGACACTGTGGAATGATGTCCAGAGAGTATAGGGAGATGGCCGGGCATGGAGGCTCACACCTCTAATCCCAGCACTTTGGGAAGCCAAGGCTGGTGGATCACCTGTGGTCAGGAGTTCAAGACCAGCCTGACCAACATGGTGAAACCCCGTCGCTACTAAATACAAAAAATTAGCCAGGGATGGTGATGCATCCCTGTAATCCCAGCTACTTGGGAGGCTGAGGCAAGAG